ACCAACTCTGTGTTGTCTTTCTTCACCGCATAATACAAAGCTGTGCAGTTTTGGTAGTTGGCAATGTTCAGATCGGCACCGTTTTTCAGTAGGAATTTCACTCCGTTGATCTTTAAATTTCAATTGATTATAATTTACTCTTAGGGTTTTTATTTTATTGTAGCGTTACCTGCTGCTTTTTTACCGCCATGTGTAGGGCCGTGTCGAAGTTATGGAGCCCTCGCAGATTAACATTTGCTCCGTACTCCACGAGCAACTGCATAATGAGCAATCGGTCGTCGGCTTGAATTGGATTGTCTTCGTCCACGTGGTGGTAGATCAAATGTAAAGGTGTCGCGAAGTCGAGGTTCCAATCGTTTGCACAAGTTGGATCGCTAGGAAATCAATAAAAATATGACTAGTCGAAGAAATTAATGCCGTTTTGTTCAATTATCAACCGAAAAATTACCTCTGCAAAATTTCATCAACTGCTGCCACGTCGCCAGAAAGTACTGCCACGTGAAGACTTGCTTCCTGGACCTCATTATCCTGAGCATCCTCCACTAGTAAATTTTCCATTTTATCTTCTTTCTTCTGTGAAAACGCCAATTTGGATCGAATAAGCAGCAGAAAATCACCAAAAACTATTTAAAAATAGGACGGTATGTCGATACGTATGTATAAGTTGCTCTGTTTGAGTTGAAAACAGTACTGCCAGAAAAACACAAGTAAGAGGAGTCGACAAAACGGTGAGCTCATTAGTGATATATGCATACCATACCTTATCATCAATTGAGTGAACGGCCACGTTAGTACAGTATAGTTTAAATTGGATATCGTGTAGCACACGGCTGGACTTGCATAGGCAACACAGACACACTAAGTATGAGTATTTCAAAATGTATATCACTTGTAGCTCGCACCTCTGAGTATTCTTATCTGATGCGCACGTTCCACTCGTGGCTATAGTAGGTAAAATAAGTGATGACGTATTACTACTTTGGTAAGTTGTTAATAGTTGGTGTGGTATTTAAAATAAAATAGTAATTGCGTAAAATTTTAAATATAAGTATTTTAAATAATTTCAACAAATATTTGTAATAATTGAATTTAAGTTTTTTAAATACATAAAATACAATGTCTCAAAAATTATTAATACATTATTTTCGATCTTAAAAACTTCAAATATAATTTATGTTATTTGTATCTGAAGTACATTACGTTGAATACAGTGTCAAAGACAAGTGTATTTGATCAAAATATTCAAGTAAGTACATATGTATGCCAGGCACACATTTGAAATACTTTAGTAAAATACACATGTATTTCATACGAATAAAGTATTTAAAATACTTCAATTCAAATATTGTATTTAACATTTGCTGTAATTAATATATATTATATTTAATTTATTT